ATCATAGATCATCTCTTAAATGCAATAAAAAGCCATCACATGCTTAATTGCCAAATATCATATGAGTAAAAGCACCTTTTAAGCAGTTCTACTTTCCACTATCATATACTGCTACTGCTAAGTCACTTTAGTCGTGTCCGACTCTGTGCGACCCCATCCCTGGGATTCTCCAGGCAAGAACACTGGAGTGGGTTGCCATTTCCTTCTCTAATGCATAAAAGTGAAAAGTGAGAGTGAAGTCGCTCAGCCATGTCCGCCGACCCTTCGTGACCGCATGGACTGCAGCCTACCAGGCTCCTCATTTTCCAGGCAAGAGTATTGGAGTGGGGTGCCACTGCCTTCTCCGACTATCATATAATGCCCTCCTAAAAAGGAAGCTGCAAGCCTGACCCTACTAACCAGAGTGGATCCCTCCCAGATTGCATCTAAGGAGAGAAGGGTCTGATTTCCACTCAGTCAAAAGTTGCTCTAAAACAAGCACAGCTGTTGGCCATTGGAGGCTACAAGCTCCCTGGCATAAATTCCAATGTAGTTTAGCTTAGGCTAGCTAGCTGTGTAAACTAAGCAAAGACACTTCACATCTCAGGGTCAGTCGCCTCTCTGAGGGAATAAACGTATTGTACCACCTCAAAGAACAGTCTAAGCATTGGTAAATTACTATCTTATTATGTAGTTGTAATAAAATTAATAGTGTGATTGGAAGCATAAAAGATCACCTGTGGACATTAAATAACACCCTGGGGAAATACTGAAGGGCATTTAACTACAAATAAGCAAATCATTCAAATCAACAACAAACCTTCCCTATGAGGGCCTGCAAAAAAGCGCAAAGACTTGCCCTGTCTTCTTCAGGGTCAAAAATCCTTTGGCTTCAATGTGACAGGATTTTTGGTGTTTTCTTACTGTTCCATTTGTGGCCCTTTGTGAGTGCAGTATAGAACCACTGCTAGTGAACCTCTGCTACAAAGAGCTGAATACCAAACAGAAAGCAAGTCAACCATTCATATGTTAAACTGCCTAGCAGCATTTGTGTACTGTCTCCCAATTCCAAATGAATTAATGAAGGCACTTAGTCAAGAGAGTGGTCAGTCGTGTTGCATTCACGTGGGATTTAGAGTACTCTATAGTGACACTTGCTAAATTGGGAGGAGGTATGGAGTGACACATACCAAACGGGCTATTTAAGAGAGGCATCCAGAAATTCTGCACGAGATCCACTATGCATTACCCAGCAGCAAGTGTCGGGTTTTCTATATTAGCTGATTGCATAGAAGTCTGTTCACCAATGCATGTAAAAATAGCAACCTGCTGTTTTAAATGCCTGATTTCAGTCCCTTAAACTGGTCCTTCAAATTAGTCAGGAAATCAGTGCATAACATAGTGTCAATTATATCATCACCTGAACCCAGAGCATTTCTTGAACACCTACCATATTCATATACTGTACTAGATTCTTCCATATGCAACCTCAGTTAATATTTACAACAACCCCCTGTGGTAGGTATTATCCTCATTTTACAGATGAGGAATCTGAGGCAGACACTTCAAAAGTGTCAGGTCTTGAACCCAAACCAGTATGACTCAAGGTCTTTACTCTTTCCACTAACCCTTCCTGGCTTCCCCAGTAGAGACAGGAAATAAGTTCATATTCATTTGTCTGTCTAGTTTTTAGCAGTGATTCTCCATGGAAGGGATAACACCTAAACATAACACTAATGGCTTTAGAACAAAAAAAAATAGTTGACAGAAGAACAAAAAAAATCCAAATTAAAAAAAATTGGTTTCCAAGTAAAACAAAACCCCAAAATATGGGATTGGGACAGTTGGACTGGTACCAAAAAAGGAGAAAGTATGTGCCACATATTTTCAAGAATCGGTTGTAAGTTCTGATATCCAAAAAGGCAGTTGTAACCATTAATGATTCCTCTACTGGGAATGTTGAGTCACAGGTTTGGTTTCTAACCTCTGCTCCAGCAGCAGCTTAGCCTAGCATCTTGAATAAGTCATTAAACTTGCTCTGTTTTGGTTTATTCATCAATAAAATAATTTATCCATCAATAAAATTTAAAATAAATAAATAAATAAAATAAAATAACTTTTAAAAATGAATCTACCTTACTAAGATGTTTTAAAGAACATAAATAAAGAATCATAAACAATAAGAACAACAACAACACCTTGAGATTTTATATAAAAAAACCACTGCAATCAATACATGACTAACTCCATCAATGCAGAGGAATCACTCCTCAATGGAAAACAGAAAATCCCAGATCATCATCCCAGCTGATCTCTGTTTGGAGTCCTGAGGGGCTGTAACCTGCTTTTAAGAGGCAAGAAATGACTTTTGAACTGCATCATCAAGAGCCAACCAGAGAAATCTGAAGGGTGGTGAACAGGCAAGACAATGCTACAATGACTCATTCATTCACTCAGCCATTCAACGAATATAAACTGAGCACCTTCTTTCTACCAGAACTGAATTGTCCCCACTTCCTCTGGGTTCAACAATAAAGCTGGGCTGGCCCAGGCACAATGCAGTGGGCCCTATGCCAGAAAGCCATCTCTAGCCTGGGGCCTAATACTCATTGCAGGAGAGAACTCTGGACAAGGGCAGTCTGAAAATTCTCCTCAAGCTTCATAGTACTGTGACGTTTACCTCCCAGCTATAGTTCTTCCATTTCCTCCAGATGCCCTTAAGCACAGAATTGTGCATGCGTGCACGTGTGTGCGCGTGCACACACACACACACACACACACAGGCTTCCCAGGTAGCTCAGCTGGTAAAGAATCCGCCTGCAATGCAGGAGACCTGGGTTCAATCCCTGGATTGGGAAGATCCCCTGGAGGAGGGCATGGCAACCCACTCCATTATTCTTGCCTGGAGAATCCCCATGGACAGAGGAGCCTAGAGGGCTGCAGTACATGGGGTTGCAAAGAGTCAGACACACACACACACACACTCACAGTCATTCTGTACTGCTGTATTCGATTACACCTATTTAAATATCTTCCTTTGTATGATATAGAATCTTCATATATTCTTCTGCCTTTCACTGGACTGTAACAGACAGCTCCACTCCCTGGGAAGAAACCTACTGTAAACCCATTTGTGGCTGATCCTCCTCGTGAGCGCCTGCCAAGCTGATCAGAAGCTTCCCGGTGACTCCATCTTAGTCAGATTGCCTGCAGAACCTAACACTGTACTTAGGGTGCAGCTTGGATGGCCTCTAAAGCAGCTGAACAGGGTCTAGGGAGACAGGGAGTATACTGAGGAAGGGTACTATGTCCCTACAGAAAGGGAAAGCTTAAATACACACACATACACAAACATATAAATGTATGTATATATGAAAAGGAAAGAAAATCAAGAGCATATGCATTTATTTATAACCTAATGCCAAACTACTACTGCCAAGATAAAAATATAGTGGCAATTCCCCTCCACCCTTTCCCTCTGCCTTTGGTGGCTTCTGCTACCTCAGCTCCTTTCTCCTCCCCTCCTCTCCCCAATGCAGGCTGTCTTGGATACTCATTTTGACCTGATTTCATTTCTATCTGGTCAAATGTTGTGGGAGGAGGAAAAGCAGGAAGGAGAAACACATTAGGATTTGCCACTGGGGCTAGCCCTTGGCCCTTGAGTGTCAGCCACCCTCCCTGACCCCAAGGTGATCCTGTGATGAGAGAGACATGGGAAACACCAGCTTAAACCCTGAGACTGAAGCCAGAGCTTCTTGCAAACATTTCCGAGTAGGCTTGATTTGCCAGACTCCATCCATTTGCAGCTCATGGATGAGGGACTCTGGAAGGCTCTGCAGTGAGCTCCAGGAGAGCTGTTTATTCCTGTCAACTGTCAGCGTGTGGGGCCATTTCTCCTTGCCTCAGCCCTAATGGGGAGTCCCTCTTGCCTCTTCTCTCTTCCTTTTTCTCCCCTAAGCTCCTTTCCTTCTTGACCTTGAGAGCCCAGTAATGGGTTCCCTCCCAGGACTGGCAGTCTGGCAGAAGCAGTGAGCAGCAGGTTCTCTTCAGCTGGGGTGGGGTAATGAAGAGGCAGAGTGACTGGGGGAGAAGCGAGAGAGCAAGAAAGTGCTGGAAACATCCCCTGTCATCTCCTCCGTACTACACAGCCTGGGAACAAGTCCTCTTCACGCCCAGCTGGGGAGTGCAGCCCAGCTCCCAGGTTGCAGAGGAGATGTTTTGGCCAGTCACCTTCGGGTGATTTGAACTCTGCAGAGGGGAAACCCTGCAGAGGGCCTGGCCTTGAGCATCCACAGGAGCCAAGATGGGGATTATGGACTATTTTGCGGGAGGGAAAAAGCAGACTTTGCAGATTAGCCCAGAAACAACACAAAATAAAACAAAACATCCAGCTTTCCCTTGAGAGAAGAAGAAGCAGGGTTTCAGTAACCTTTATTTGGGCCAAGTCTGCTTTTGTCTCGAGGATATAGACACACGCCCAGGTGGCTAGGGGAACACCATCTGCTCCCCATCTGGGATGAGGGATACCATCTTCGCCCCTAAAAATTGCTTGTTTTAGTAGCCCATTCGCCCTCAGCTCTTTCCTCCTTCCCTTTTGTTCTTCCCCAGGATAAATAAACTCTCCAGCTTGCTAAACTCTTAGCTCCAAGGGAAGCAATCAGACTTGTAGGCTGGTTGCCTGGACTTTGGGTGTGCTGGAAGGAGGAAAGGGCTCCTGCTGGTGACAGGTGACAGGCAGGTCTCAGCCCCTGGGTTTACTTGGGGGTGGAGGGTTTACTTGGGCAACCCCTCCCCCAACTGGCATTCAGTGGCTCCCGGACAGTTGTTCCCGGCTAGCCCACAAATGATTTCGCTTTCATCCAGCTGCTCCTTCCCAGCTGCAAAGTTGTTGGGGAGAAGGGAGGGTCCGGGGTGGGGGTAGGGGTGAAAGGGCTGGGACCTTGGACCAGGGAGGAAAGAAGGGGAGAGGTACTCTCCATCTCTTCGGAAGGCGCTCTTCATCACCCGTTTGCTTCACTTACCATCTCACTGTAGGCATCCTTGCTGAGCCTGGGGGTCAACTTGATAGTCCCCATGAAAACAAAGAAGAGTCCCAGGGCCACTGAGAGGGCCACGACGGTTACGGTTCTAGGGGATGCCATGGGGTCACCAAGGCAGGTCCGGACTAATCGTTCTGCTTTGTGCACCCTCTGGTCTAAGGCGCAGGTACTTAGTGCAGAGGGAGCTAAAGGAACACTGCGGAGGCAGCAGGCAGCTAGAATGACAAAGGGAGAGGAGGGAGCTCGAGGGAAAAATTGAGAGATCGAGATTCAGCCTCTCTCACTACAACAATCGCTGGGTCCTAATGCCCTACGCTTACTCCTCACTGGCCGGAAAGCACAGTCTCGAAATTAAACGAAGTCCCAAACTGAGGTAGAAACATCAAGTCTTAAATGGGGAAATAGGTAGGTTATGTTGCGAATTCAGTCCCCGGACTGCCTCTGAAATGAGGAATGAAGGAAGATTATTCTATCACTTCCCCCCAGGAGTGCTTTCGATCTCTCTAGTTCTTTAATTATTCACTCTCCCCTTTCAGTCTCTCTCCTCTCCCCCTTTCCTTTCTCTCCTTCTCTCCTCCTTTCCTTTCCCTCACCAAAACATGAGTCCTTGGAGTTGCTAGTTTCTGCAGTTGGTAACACTCCAGGATGAATCTGCAAAGTTTTCAGGCTTGATTGTTGCCAAAGAAAGCTTTATCTTCCTCTTCCTCCAAGTTTTTTCATGGCTCCTATTGCTCAGTGGTTAATTTCAGAGTTTTAAATTTGACATTTAAGGCCCTCCACATTTGGACCTCTGCCTCTCTTTGTAGGTTTGTGTGTGTTCAGTCGTGTCCAATTCTTTGTAACCCCATGGACTGTAGCCTACCAGGCTTCTCTGTCCATGGAATTTCCCAGGCAAGAATACTGGAGTGGGTTGCCATTCCCTTCTCCAGGGGATCTTCCCGACCCAGGGATCAAACCCTGTCTCCTGCTTGACAGGCAGATACTTTACCAATGAGCCACGTGGGAAGCCCCTTTGGAGGTTTATCTTCCAATAACCCCCGCTGCCACCCCGTCTCCTTCCTACTCATGGTCCCATCCAACCTGAGATGTCCCACCTCCCTTACATTCGCTTTCCCTGCTCCGACACTCTTCCTTAGCAATCAGCCTTTTCTTCAATGTCACCTCCTCCATAAAGACTTCCCTGATGCACTCCCAGCTGGATATGATTTCTTCCTCTGACTTCCTGTTCTAGTAACCAATATTTATTGGTTGTTAACTAAGTGCTAGACACTGCTCTTGACTTGTATTAACTAATTTCATCTTAACAACATCATTGAGCTAGATATGAGTTCCCATTTTATGGATAGGACATTGAGGCACAGGGAAGTTAATTAAGTAACTTGCCCTAGAGTATATACTAATAAGTGGAGAAACAGAATTCAAACCTGGGCAGTCATTTCCAGAGCCCAGGTTCTCAACCATTCATCTACTGCCTCTCTATATAATATTTTGCATCATAAATATGGCACTTACCTGATACTGCTGAATGTTGTAATTACACACACAGATGCAACTTTTTGAGAGGCAGTGTTCCTTAAGAGAGAGAGAACAGTCTGGAGTCAGACCCAGAAGGTCCAGGGTTTCAATCCCAGCTCTACCACTAACTGTAAACTTGGAAAAGTCACTTATCTGAGCCTCCATTTCCACATTTATAAAATGTGAATGAAAATTCTACCTCAAAAGTTTGTTGTAAGAATTTTATGTTCATAAATTGCTTAGCACAGTGTCTAACACAACAAGAGCTCAATGGATGTGGTTCTTTTCTTGCTTGTTCTGCTTTCCTAATCCACACCACAACTAGCTATGATTGTAAGCATTTAGATGGTAGGAGTAGGACTTAACTGGTGGTCCAATGGTTAAGAATCCTCCTGCTAATGCAGGGGACACAGGTTCTATTCCTGGTCTGAGAAAATTCCGCATGCTGCGGGGCAACTAAGTCTGCATGCCCTAGAGCAAGTGCTCTGCAACAAGAGAAGCCATAGCAATGAGAAGCCCGTACCTGCAACTAGAGAGTAGCCCCCACTCGCCTCAACTAGAGAAAGCTCACATGCAGAAACGAAGATCCAGCACAGCCAAAAATACCTAAATAAATAATTTTTTAAAAGGTAGGAACAACTTCTGCATATCTCCCACAATACCTAGAACAACCACTGTTGTGCACCAGAGCCTTATATTTCTTGACTGGGAAAAATTTGATGAATTTAAATGCAACTATTCTGGGGAGTGGGCTTCCGTGGTGGCTCAGACAGTAAGGAATCCACCTGCAATGTGGGAGACCTAGGTTCGACCCCTGGGTTGGGAAGATCCCTTGGAGGAGAGCATAGCAACCCACTCCAGTGTTCTTGCCTGGAGAATCCCCATGGACAGAGGAGCCTGGTGGGCTTCAGTCCATGGGGTCACAGAATCGGACAGAACTGAGCGACTAAGCACAGCACAGCACATTCTGGGGAGTAGTAACACTTTAAGCTTTAGCCATCATTTGTATCTTATGGTGGAAGCATTTTAGACTCTTTTCTGATTATGATTCAACCTATAAATTAGTGAGTGACTGCAATGTACATACAAGTTAATTAGGCACTGTAGGAACACACAAATATATGAGGCATAGATCCTGCTGCCAATGGGCTCGTTGCATAGTGGAGAGTAGAATTTGTTAGAGAGGAGAAAATTTCTTCAAACATAAAAAACTGGAAAGAATAAACCAAAATGAAATGTTTGTCTTGATAATTTGTTTTCCAAATGTCCTACATTGAACATGGCAGTAAAATGAGTACCTAAGGAAGTCCATTCACGTAGTTGAGTAACTGATTAAAAAAAATATATATGTATATATATGCTATTTTCCTTTCAAATTACATGATATTGGGAATAACACTATTAATTATAAAAATGCATAAAATACTGAATAATAAATAAAATCATGAATAAGGAAAAAGTTACTCATGTTTCCAGTGTGCAGAGATAAATATTCTTAATATTTTGATGGATCGATATTTTCACTGACATTTTTCTTAAATACCTCTCTATGTACAAAATATTTATAAATTAGTTTTTCAAAATTTGATCCTACTAGAGAGTCAGCTTTTTTAACTTGTTAGCATTTTTTCTGTATCATTAGACACATCTTTAAAAAATGATCACATAGTACTTTACATCTTTTGCATGTACTGCAATTCATTTAACTATTCTCCTATTGCTAGATGTTGATGGTTGATGTTTCCATGTTTTTTCCCTGTGCGTATCCTTATATATCAGTCTTTATCTGAATTCCTGAACTTTTTCTTAGGATAAATTCCTAGAAGATGATAGGTCAAAATTATGAAGTTTTCATATATATACAAATTTAATAAGAGCTTACACTTCCTTATCGCTTAGAGGATAGCAGGCACTATGCTAAGTGACTTGCAAGTACTGTGAGATTAGTACTATTAATTTTCTCCATTTTGTGAATGAGGAAACTTAGCCAGGAGGGAAACATTTCCTCAAGTCTAGAGCAGGGCTTCCGCCTGTTAGGGTACTCAGGCCTGTATTGTTCCTCAGTTTGTTGCTGCTGCTTCTTTGATTGGGTGTTCTAGGTGGGGCTAGTGGTAAAGAACCTGCCTGCTGCTTATACAGGAGATCTGGATTCGATCCCTGATCAGGAAGATACCCTGGAGAAGGGAATGGCTAACCACTCCAGTATTCTTGCCTGGGAAATTCCAGGGACAGAGGAGCCTGACAGGCTATAGTCTGTGAGTTCACAAAGAGTCAGACATGACTGAAGCTACTTGGTGTGCACACTCCTTTAATTCATTTAGAAGATATGAATATTTAAAAGACTCTTGGTACATATTAATAAAGTGCTTTCCAGAAAAAAAATTTTACCCTCTGATTAGCAACATAGAAATGTATACACATCACCACATCAGATCTGCACCAAGTATCAGTGTGGTTTTCATCTTCACCAATTTCATTGTGTAGAATTTTGTATTTCATGGATTATTAGTGTGTTAGAACATTTTCATATATTTATTAGTTGTATGCATGTCTTCAGTTTATGTCCTCTTCCATTTTTATTTTGAGTGTTAGTGGGTTTTGATTGATTCATAAGAGCTTTTCTTTGTCAATAAATTTGGTAGAGTCAAATCTAGGAATCCTTTTGTGATTTTATTCATTGACTTTTGCTTAGAAAATTCTTCCCAATCTCAAGATTAAACATTTGTTTATATTTTCTTAAATCAGTTCTAGTTTTTCACCTTTTTTACATTTAGTATTGTTGACAAAATCTGTGCTCATTGGTCTGTGATGCTTCTTTTTCTTTTGGAATTGAAAGAAAATTGCTTTAGAATGTGGTGTTGGATTCTGCCATACAACATTGCAAATCAGCCATAAATTATTATGTATCATCAGGTTCTTGTTTTGTTTTAGGTCAGTCTCAAGGCTTTCCGTTCAATCCTACTGATTTTGTTTGCTGATTCTTGTGACAGTATGTGCATGCATGCGTGCTAAGTCATTTCAGTTGTCTCCGACTCTTTGTGACCCCCATGGACTGTAGCCTGCCAGGCTCCTCTGTCCGTGAGATTCTCCAGGGAAGAATACTAGAGTGCATTGCCAGGCCCTCCTCCAGGGCATCTTGCTGACCCTGAGATCAAACCATTGTCTCCTGCATTGGCAGGAGGGTTCTTTACCACTAGGACCACCTGGGAAGCCCTCTTGTGACAGTACTGTATTTTAAATATTATAACTTATGTATACATTTTAATATCTTATAAGCCAAGTCTCCCATCACTATTCTTTTTCTAAAATTTCTTTGCCATTCTCCCCTCTTTATTATTTTATGTAAACTTTAGAATCATTTTATCAAGGTAAAATAACTTTGAATTTTGACTGGATTGAATTAAACATGTAATTAATTTTAAACCTTGATATCTTACAAAACTTAGCTTTCCCATCCAGAAATATGATATTGATTTCCATTTATTCAAATCCTAGTTGCTGAGAGATGTACAAACATCCTTGTTTTCTTTGTGTAGGGCCTATACTTTTTAAAAAAGTTATTCTTATGGATTTTATGCTTTTCTGTC